AAACTCGACCGATTTGTCATCAGTCAGCTATAGGCGTACGCCAGAGATAGGGAATCTTTAACATATTATATAGGTGATATATACATCACGTGTATAATACGTTAAAGATTCACTAAAACAGCAGCCATACATCCACAGCTAGTCCTCGGTATGACGATAAATTACATCCGAGAGCAAGGGCTCTGATCAGAAGATTGGAGTTTTTGTAGAACCTGAAACCACCTCTTAATTGATGTTCTTCCCAGGAGAAGATTGGGGGTACGATCTGTTAGGGTCCATGCTGTGGGAAAACAGTGAACCCTCAAACAAAAAAATACTATATAAGTATAAGAATACATTTTATAGTAAAAATATATACCAGCAATACGTTTTTTTTTCTATTGATAGAAAAATTACCAACAACGCCGACTGATCATAAAATGACCAACAATACAATTTTATAGGAGAATTACTAACAATACATTTTATCGCAAAATGACCATAAATCCATTTTATCTATAGTTGAAGGCATACAATTGTGTTCAAAATATCTAGATTTCAGCATTAAATAACCCATAGAGATGTTGATATACCGCTAAGCAAATACAACCAACTAACCAGCCAGAGCCTCACAACCAAGCAATTTTCTATTTGCCTTAAAGCATATCTCGTCGTTCAATTTTTTCTCGAAATCCATATTTGCTCAGTTTTGTATTCACTCGACTAATGATAGCCTACAAGCCAAGCAAGGTCATATTTGGTGAAATTTTCTCTTTGCTACCTCGACTTTATGAATTTAAGTGCAGTACTAGATTGGCAGTTAGGTCTCATCATTTCACTGATATAATTTCTAAGTATAGTCGTATAATTCTCTTCTAATATTTTCTTCTCTCGCACTTCTCACTTGTGGAACTTTCTTCTAGTCTTCCTGTCAACTATGATCTTAAAATATATAAATGCAATGTCAGTTGTCATCTTCTGTCACCTTGAGTCCTGTTCGTTTTATTGCATTTTCTCCTCAGTAAAGTTTTCTAAGTTTCCTTCACGCTCATTAACCCATTGCAAGTTAGTGGCTTTATTGCCTTACAATAAGTTTATTGCTATTCGCATCAATGTAGTAAGGAATACGAATGAGAAATGTGTTTTAGGTTTTGTTCGTTTTGTTTTGTTTTACGGTATATCAACCTCAATGGGTTATTTAATGCCGACAAGATTTGTTTATTCCTGGTAATATTTTTTTTTCAAAAACTGTATTGCTGGTAATATTTTTTCAACTAAGTATTGCTGGTATTAAAACCTATTTTTATATTTTCATAGTGTTTTTGCCCCTTTTTTGCGGGGGTCTAACTATTTACCAATAGCTGGGACCATGACAGGGGCTACCACCCCGGGTCAGGGTGGACCTGGGAACATCACCAATTAAAAGGTGGTTCCGTGCTCCTCAAAACCTCCTGATCAAAGACCTTACTGTCGGTTGTAGTTTATCATCATACCCAGGACGGTGTGTTTTATGCCTTTAGCAAACGTTCTTAGATTTGACGTGTTCTTATCCGTGTGTAAATTCCTTAAGATGCTGTTTGCATTTTTTCTAAGTTATTTCCGAAAAAAAAAAGATAAATGAGTATTTAAATAGGTAACTGGTCTTTTCTTTCTCCTGTCTTTCTTTTCTATATAGCTAAACAATACCCAACGACATCACAATTCCTCTGGTGAATAATTGATAAAATACTCCTAAAGTGGCTATTTCTGGTACTCACGGCTGTCCAAAATCGATAATTATTCATGAAACGAATAAAACATTCACCGACCAAAAACATATGTCTTGCATCTTAAAAGAATAAATAAAACAGAAAAAAATAAATTTCATAAAAATAAAAAGGAATAAAATGAAAATTGATCAATACGAATTATTGGGAAAAATGATTGGCATTACAAAAGTCTAATGATTGAACTTTGGTTAAAGTTTCAAAATGAGGTCAAATGATTTGTTTACCCGTTCTTTTAGATGACTTGCTACCTAAAAAACAATATGGCGAATTATAAGCCTGAAAAGCGAAGATGTGGTTGCTTGAAATACTTTATTTATAATTGCGATATGGAAATGTCTAGTGGCGGGAAAAGAAGCCAAATCTCAGTTTTATGTCTGGATTCAAACTCGTTATTAAGTCGTCAGATGCCATTAATATCACTTTAAATAAACCACAAAAATATTCAAAGCAGATACTCTCCAGTCTGTAAGGTAAAAGCATATCATTTGAAAACATGTAACTCTACTGCAATGGGGCATTAACTCCTTCATAAAAAGTTACCAAATTGATTCCACCAAAAACTTCTAATTTTCTTTTATCCACCGCGCCCCTTCATGAGTCTCCACAACGTTTTTTTTGTCTCCAAAGTAACTTTTGTCCTTTATCATACGTCTTTTTCCTTGTTTGCCGTCCATTCACACAAACTCGGTAATTCAGTTGCATGTTATTTCCCCTTGATTCTCTTGCCTTCAGTATGTCCTGTGAGTGTTAGATTTTCCAGACCTTCTTTCCTCTGATTCTTTCTGACTGTAATTATCACTTTCCTTATAGGTTTTATAATTTCTTCTTTGTTCACATGTTCTGTCGATGACACATATAACATTGGTCGGGCAAACCACATCTCTTTCGCTTTAAATATCTTCTTCTGTAAGGAAATAGTCCAGCATTCATTGCCATATTAGTTATCTATATATACTGCCTGATAAAACTATTCTGGCAGAAACCATGGTAGCATAAGAGTCAGTGTTCCAAATATTTTATATCTTAAATTGCCTTACATTTTCGTTTTTTGAAAATTTTATTTGAACATCCTCTTAATTAGGTACCTTCACATTAAAAGCAAGACTCCTTGGAGAAAGTAAATCATCAATTTTTTTTCAAACTACTAATCATTCCGCGAAAACCTGCCCCGAATCATAATATAAAAAATACAATAAAACTATGCCATTATTTAATTAGAAAAGCTTTTAATTGCTTTTCTAAATACGAATTATTAAGGACACTACTGTCTTAAGAAAAAATTTTTAGATGAATAATAAATTTTTACAAGAATTGTTTTCATTTTTATCTTAATTTTAATTATAATAGTTTATAATATTAAAATTCTGCATTACTTCAATCCAGTTACGTGATATTGTGAAGTGAAAACTATATTTACGAATCAGAAATTGAAAAACTCAATAAAAGTCGTTTACACACAATATATATTTTTTTAATTTATAATTTTTTATATATAAAAATATTACGTAACTTGTCCCTATTTGAAAGTATGGTCGGCTATACACGACATAATCAGAAAATAAGAGCGATTACCATATTAATTTTAAATTTAAATTCAACATTTCTAAAATTAAATTACGGAGAATGTTTTTTAACATTTTTAAGAAAATTGAATACTTAAAAAGTATATAAAAAAGGCGCCCGTCCATCATTTTCTTAATTTATGTTTTGACAGATAAAGTCACCGTAAAACAACAGCAAAGATGTTAAGAGTTTATCACCGCTTGTCAAATTGTCTGCGAGTGACAAGCGATGATGATAAACGCGTAATCACCGCTATCGTTTGTTATAAAAATAAATTTCTGTTATTTTAAACTTAATAATATTTTTTTTCAAATCAGATTAATTATACTCTAAATTAGCTAATATTTCTCAAATAAAGTTTCAGCATATTTTTGGAAGATCTTTAAAACCGAGAATTAACTTTTGTTTACAAATGTGTCAAAATATGTCAGATTTTGTGAAAGCGATCAAAAAGTTGAGATTCCAATCAATGAAATTTCTATTTGAAAGAATGGAAGGATGCTTTCCGACCACTACAATTTTAACTACTTCAAGTCTAAATCTAATCGTGCTATCTTTCCTACATGTCCTCATAAAACGCACCTCTTACTCTTATCACTCATACACCAACCTTCTACAACAATTCTCTACCTCTCGTGGCTCTTGTGCCTTGTATTGGATGAACATTAGTTAAAAAAAAATTAAACTAATAATGTGTCGCTTGTGAAAATTGATCTTGCAAGATTCGGAAATGAATCCACAAAACGATCTTACTAACCATCACTCTATCTATGCGCATAATCCATATGTCCAAGTGAGTGTTATACATGCAAATTTTTTGATAAATAATTTATTGTATATCTTTATATTTGGAGTAGCTATTTTATTAATCCGCATATTAAAAAATATGTTACAATATCATTTTGTAAATCTTGGACCTTCGAAAAAAAGGAAATGTCAAAACGGCGGATTTTTCTTTGACACCGCTATTAAAAATACCTTCACTTGTCGGCAATATTTGTTTTTAAAAGCAATTATTAGAATTTTGATCAAATCTAAAGACGTGAGAGTGAATTTAAACATTTCTTCGTTCTTGAGAAAATAAAAATATTAAACACTATTTATTCATTAGACTGTTTATTGGAATGGTTGGCAAAACATGGGCTAATTACAAATAAATTCGAACTTTATAAAATGGTAAAAATAGTGCAATGGGGAGGTGCTGTCTAAGTGGCGCATTTGAAGAAAGCCCACTATAATTCATTGTTTCCAGTACCTATTCAAAGAAAAACCTAGCAAATTTACCTGCTAGACATATTCTCTCCTCTACTATCTATCTATCTATCTATCTATCTATATATATATATATATATATATATATATATATATATATATACACTTCTTAGTATGTCCATATCTATCAATCTTAATATATCGGAATGCAAATAAATATGTATGTATAATTTATCTGAATGTTAAGTGCATTTCAAAGGCTTGTAAAGTGTAAATGATCACACTGATTTCCTTTGCTTACTACATTAAAAGCAAGAAAGACAGAAGGGAACATCGAGTAACCGACATAACAGGTTTGTATAAATGTATGACTGAACAGGGAATGGGGTGGGGATAGAAAGGGACAATCATTGACCTTACAAAAGATAGAAAGTTATGGAGACTCATGAACGCCTACGTCTTGAAGGCATTCGATACATGAAAGAAATTTTGCTTTTGGGGAAATATTTTCATTTTTTTCCTGCTCTTTCTCTGTTTGTCTCTATCTCTCTTTCTCTTTTCTTTCTGCTTCACATTATCCTTCTATCTTCCTTTTTATCTCCCTTTGTCACGTTCTCTCTCTCTCTCTCTCTATCTCTCTGTCTGTCTTCATCTTTTTCTCTCCCCTTTTCTTTGTCTCTCTATCTCTTTTTCTTTCTTTCTCTTTGGCTTTCTTGCTCTTTCACTTTCTTTTCTGCGTGTCATCTTTCTTTTTTTCCTCAGTCTCTCTCTCTCTCTCTTTGTCGCTGTGTCTCTTTATTTCTCCCTCTTTTTTCCCTCTTTTTCTTTTTTCTGTCTGCCGCTCTCTCTCTCTTTTTCTCTTTTTCTCTCTCTCTCTCACTGACTTCCTCTTTTTCTGTTTCTTTATCGCGCACTTTCTCTCTCTCTCTCTCTCTCTTACTTCCTCTTTCTCTTTCTCTTTCTCTCTCTCTCTCTCTGACTCCTCTTCCTTTTTCTGTTTTCATCTTTCCCTTTCTCTGTCTCTCTCTATCTCTGTCTCTCTGTCCCTGTCTCTCTCTGCCTCTCTCTCTCTCTCACTCTCTCTCTCTTTCTATCTATCTATCTATCTATCTGCACAACAGTTTTGCTTGTTGCTTTTGTTTTTTTTCTTTTTTTTTCCTCTGTATCCTACTCAATGTTATTTCTTCCGTCAGATGTTAAGGTCAGCAAAGCTTTCACTTGACCTCTTCGTCAATTTGTCTGTCTGTTGAATACGTCCAGAGCCATTGACAAGCCCACTAACACTTTTATGTGTCCATCAAGACTTTCCTTTCGCTCATTCATTTTATGTTTTTATTCTTTCATTTATTTAGATTTTTTTTCACAGATTTTCACGCCAAACTACATCTGTCGTTTTTGTAGGAAATCAAATATTTTCGTTTCCCACCTTTCCTTTCTTTTATAATTGTGTGCTTAAGAAGTTAGGTTTTGTTGCCAAAAAACATTCTTCAGACCAAAGCGATCGATTTCTGGCACTTAATGTCAAGCGCGTTCGATTAGTTACGACTTAGTTCGTTTAAAAATGCCAGAGTAGTCTCGGGTTACGCTCGCTGCTTTTTAACGATATATAACCTTTGCTTGTCAGAGACAACATTCTCTGATTAATATCCTTGAAGTAAATATCACTCTATTGCTGACAGCTGCAGTAATAATTACACTCTAACGAAACTACCTCGTTTGTTGGAGCTTGTTACTTTGTCGGGATTTATCTTGTAGGTGTGTAAATCGGATCCCAGTTAGTTTATACATAATCACATTTGTAAAGTTTATTTTAAAGGATATTAAAAGTCCAGCTATCAGTAGAAATTTCCAGTTTTTGCTAATGTAGGTTCATGCAAAAGCGTTTGACAAAGTCCAACGCAAATAACTGTCTGGATTGTTAGGTAAGCGTGATGTATGCGAGTTGATTGATTTGTTCCTTACGGCTTTAGTCCTGGTATGACGATAAACTACATCTGGCAGCAAGGCTTCTGATCAGGAGATTGAAAATTTTGAGGGGTGCGGAACCACGCCTTAATTGTTATTGTTCTCAGGTCCATTTGTTAGGGTCCCAGCTATGGGTAAATAGTGAAACCTCCAAACAAAACAAAGCGCTATGAAAGTATAAAAATACATTTTAATATTAAAAATAACAGCAATAAATTCTCATATAAAAAAAAATTACCAATACATATTCACTGTAAAATTATTATCAGTACGCACATACGAAAAACTTGGAGCGACTTGACCCAAATCAGTTTAAAATAATACTAAAAAGCCAACATAAAAAACTCTTTCATGGCATTAATCCATATAATATCCGATAATTTCAGAAAGAAATCAAACTGTATTCCAAAATATAACTTCAAGAAAACCACAACATAAAACAGACTTATCACCGCCTTTAGTAATCATGTCCACACAAACATGTATATGCACAAAAGCTGAGAATCATCTACCATGTATTCAACTGTGAAAGCAGAATAACATATATCATATTTTTATTGTTTCCAAGCTTCCAACAAAATTAAAGTTCGGCATGAAATGACCCATGAGTAGTTAATATGCCGTCACACAGCCAAATCGAGTCAACCTTTACGGCTTATCAGCCTTTAACAGGAAAACCAAAAATATTTTGAGATATTTTTCTGAATAAAAATGATTTGTTGATGCAAGACTTTACTGCTTATCCCATACCTGAGGGAGAAGAGGTGGATTCATGCCTTTCCTAAGGGTATTTAAGCTTAAGTGAATATATATAAGGAACTCACATGTAATTAGAAATCGGCTCTCCGATTTCCAATTAAGAGCTATTATCTATTACATCCAAGCTTACCTCCTATTCCCAAGCGGTTACCCATCAAGGTACTGACCATGTTCGACGTTGCTTAACTTCAGTGATCGTACGGGAACCGGTGTTTCAACATGATATAGCCGTAAGCTTGATTTATCTGGGATATACTGGAAGCAAATCACTGCATCCGGATAGGCAAATTTTAATTGAGTAAATACATGAAAAAGTGAAAGGTTCGTATGACAAGGATGCTTCTTCTCACCGGACTTATTCAATCTAAACAGTGAACTGATCCTGAGAGAATTAGAAGTCCTACCAGGATTCATTACTGTCGACCACACTTTTAATAGCACAGGATATGCAGATGACACAGTTTTGACAGCAGACACAGATAGGAAACTACAGAGACTCCGCTCGAAAATAGTAAAAGAATATGATTGTTGTAGCATACCTACAGACGATAATGGCTATGTCCCCATTCACATAAATACAGTAGTAAATACTGTATGTTTGTCTGTAGTCGGATATTCGTATCCAGCTGTGCTGGTCAAACTCTCTGCCTCTAGGCAGTGTGGATCCCCAGACGAAGCTATGTCGAAGGGCAGAGTCTCGTCTCGGGAAACAGCTACGGGGAATTTTTGGCCGAGCCTACGGGTTCGGATACCCCACATTAAATTCTGCCTTGTGCCACATCTGACCATGTGGGGTGATTGGTAGATATCCTGAAGTTGGGGATACGTCTCCAGCTGTGCTGGTAAAACTCTCTGCCTCTGAACAGAGAGGATCCCCAGACGAGGTTATGTCAAAGGGCAGAGTCTTGTCTCGAGAAACAGCTACCCGATCCCCTTTTATACGGGATCTACGGGGAATTTCTGGCGGAGCCTACGGGCTCGGATACCCCACATTAAATTCAGCCTTGTGCCACATCTGACCACGTGGGGCGGTTGGTAGATATTCTGCAGTTGGAGATTCATTGTGGAATTCACTTGACTCACTTCTAGCAGTTGACTACTTCTTCTACGCGCCGCTGGCGAATCTTGTATGGGTTGTTCGTATACTAAGTATTATCGTTCATTACCAACCTTCGTGTGGTTATTGTATTCGATAACCTTCCCTAGGTTACAACAATGATTTATTCATTTTTTACGGTTTATCGACCCTTTTGCCGGTTATTTAAAGCCAGATCATATTTTTAGATTGTAAGATTTCTTTTAGTGAATAATGATAATAGCTTAGTAATACAAGTGTTACTAATTAACCCATATCTGGAGGGAGAAGAGGTGGATTAATACTTTTCCCAAGGGTATTTACGCGTAAGTGAATATAACGAACCCAACGTGAATTGGAACTCGGCTCTCCGATTAACAATTACGAGCCGTTATCCATGACACCACCCACACATCCAAGCTTACAGCACTTAGCAACCCCAAGCTGTCCCTCAGGTACTGAACAAACTTGACGTTGCTCAACTTCGGTGATCGTACAATACATAAGCAACAAATAAGGACAAAACTGTCTATATTTCTGAGATGAGGTATTATGTACACTATTTACATTATTGAGACTAGTGTCCTCATCTTTGTCGCCATGTTTATCACAACGATTCGGACGTTGTACGCTCCGGCCTTCTTCAGGTGGTTGGAATGTCGAACTGAACCCTTTATTTCGCTCACTGGGGTAGACTGTTCTAGTTCCATGTGCCATGTTTAATGGATGTCAGTTATCTTCTGTTAATTCCCCTCTGAAAGTTCTCCACTGCCTTAAGCTGGTATTGAACTCACACTCTTTGGGTCCTGTCACTGGATCTAAGTAACACCTTTATCCATTGTGCCATGTGTCCTCGATAAACATAGCGACAAAGATGAGAATAATAGTCCGAATAATGTAAATAGTGTAAGGACTAAACGTCAATTATATGACAGAATGTCTGGTTGTCAGCAAAAGGAATAGTCCAGTATCGTAAAATAATTTCCAATGAATTTCTGTATATGCCTGTAGTATTTTCTGTATCACTCTCTACATAATCATTGGAGCGAATTAAAATTTTGATTTGTTTTTTTAATAAATAATTCTAATTCATTTCCTTAGCAAAATCATTTCCAATGAATTTCTATCTATACTTTTATTATTTGCTGTATTATTTTATATGTAATCATTAGAGTGAATGAATGTTTTCACGTATTTGTTTAATAAATATCTATCCCAGTGTCTTCAGTCTCTATCTATCTATCTATCTATCTAATAGGAGAATTGAACATAGTTTTACAGTGAATATTTTCACACACCACCGTCTGTTCCTACAAAACCAAAACATTAATCTAAAACTCTAGGCAGATCAAGACTTTCATGCCTGGCGCCAAACTCGCTCAGAAATATCGATTCTCTCAGCTGTATAGAATCGCTTTTTCAGATCAATGGTTTAAGATGGCTTCGAGCGAATAAAACTTTTATCCCTTCGAACCTTGTAGACTGGCACTACAGAATTATAAACAAAGAGCTGTACCAAATAACAGAAACCACATCACCGACAACAACAACAATTAAAATGCACATCACATATTAATCGAAGAGAAAATAAGGACATGATCACAATGTTGACATTCGCCACTACTTAAAACAAAAAGTTATGAAGGGAAACCCCGTCAATACTGAAAAGAGCAATGACAGCCATTGTACCCCAGAAACCGATTATTCCGAAAAACTTTTGTAAGAGAAAGATTTTAGAAAATTCAGCTGAAATCACCATTGACTGCTCGGTTAATGAATGCGAAATGTTTCCTTACAAGGAAATGGTTAATATAACCATTAGGATTACCAATCGAATTCCGGGCACTTTAAGACGCGTGGGCTGGGACATTACAACTATATTTTCTAAAAATGGTCAGAAGATTTTTTTCAATATGCCAGGAATCAAGTAAACCCTGTTCCAGGTTTCACATTTTCTCTCTTTCTTTCTTTCTTTCTTTCTTTCTTTCTTTCTTTCTTTCTTCTTCTTCTCGTTGTTGTTGTTGTTGCTCTTCTTCTTCTTCTTCTTCTTCTTCTATATGCCATGTGCCGCCTTCCATTCATTCAAGCTCACCAGGTAAATTGTGCGTAGCTTCCTCTGTTTCTCTTACCTTACTCCTATGAATGTCAAATTTTCCAAGTCCTCCTTAATCATTATATGTCTCCGAAATATCAACTATCTCTTCTTGATGTTAAGTATAATTGTTCTTTTTGCTGTCATTGTCTCTAGAACTTCATCATTACTAAACTATTCTGTCCATGGTATTCTCAGTCACCATCAGGTAAGAAACATGCCCGACAAGGAGAGGAAGTTGAAATGGCATAAACGAGCCAAAGTTTCACCTTAGACAGAAGAGGAAGCGGGAGACAGATAAAAAAACCGACTGGCAATATCACTGAGTGGACAGAAAGTCCGTTCGCATAGATGTAGACATTGGCATTCAACTGAGACAACAAAAGAAAACGCTTTACATTCGCTTTCTTGTAAAATAAACTAAATACCAAGCTACAGCTTAGGAGAGAATATCATAAAAAATATACTTAAAAATCAGTAATATCTTTTTTTTCTTAAACCCGATTAAATTGATCGCAATCTTAGAACGAAAGAAATATCTACTTTTGAGATCCGATAATCCCTTTAATCCGCCCTCGGTAACAGAAATAAACAATTTCTTTTTATTTACTCAATAGTGGCCCCAGAGCACAAGAGCAGGACGGTTGCTAAGGTTGGCAACACGAAAATGCCAGAAGGGTGTTGTAAAAGACTTTCTATAAAAGGAATAATGAAAGAAACAATATGTATCGCTGAAGTTCGTGAAATCCAAAGAACAAATTACATTACGCTTATTGTATTTTGTTAGAATTTTTCTAATTTATAATCATAATATTCGTTAGAAAAAAAGAAAAGAGTACTGAACTATTACGCAATATAAGTCCTCCTAAAATGGCAGTGAATATTGAACAATCACAGATGAAAATAGACTTGAGGTGATAGAAATTTGGTTGTAAAGAAGGATGCTGAGAATATTATGGACCGAATATGTTAAGAACGATGAAGTTTTACAGAAAATGATATATCATCCAGAATTGTTGAGGCAATTAGATGTGTTTACAGAAACACCACTGCCACCATTGTATTGCCTGAAGGCGAGACTGATTCCTTTGAAGTTAAAGCAGAAGTTCTAGAAAGGAGAAAAACTTGCCCCCATTTTTTCTTTATAGTTGTCCTGGACTATGCTCTGCGTATTTCTCTCGACAACATGGAGAAAAAGGGACTCCTTTTGCAACCTCACCAAAGTAGTCGGTACCCTTCACAATACCTGACTGACCTTGACTTTGCCGATTAAGTTCTCAATATATCATTGATGCAGAATCCTTATTTCAATTACTTGAGCAAGCAGAGGGACCAGGTAGGTCTCTAGTGCAACGTAAGACAAAATATATCACAACCACCCCTGAACCATTCGAGTTGAAGTCACTCAATAATACATCCATCAAAAGAGTTGAGGACTTCAAATATCTTGGATCTCACATAATAGATTCCCAAAATGACTTCAACATCCGCAGATCTTTTACATGAGATGAGTGTAACAAACTTCACAGAATTTGGCGCTCAAACCTTCCATTCTCCTTAAAAGTCCAAACCTTTCAAACATTGATTGAACCAATCTTACTGTATGGATCAGAAACTTGGACATTATCTGCTCGTTTTGAAAGATGACTGGATGGAACATATACAAATCTACTTAGAACATCAGTTGGAGATCCCATGCAACGCTTAACACAAATTACGGAGAACTGAGACCAAATCTGTCTTAAGCTCAAACAAAAGCGATTACAGTTTGCCGGCCGCTGCCACCGAGTGGACAGGGAAATCGATTCATCCTTACTCCTATGGCATCCTTCTGGAAGTGTCTTCTCATGAAAATTGACTTCCCCAGACACCATAGTTTGGGAATCAGGGTTGGACATTGGAGATCTGAGGACAGTAATACAGGAAAGAACAGTGATTGTCAATGGAGTTCCGACCAACCATAGGGAGATGAAAGGAGGAGGAGGAGGGGGAGGAGGGGGAGAAAAAAGATAACGATTAATCCTAGGTTTGAAGAGGTTAAGATCCATTCAAGGTAGCACATTACTGAATGATGCTGTTGTATGAACGTAAGAGGAGAGGGTATTTTTTCTAATCTAAAGTAAATATTAACTACTGTCACCAAATTTCAAATCTTTACATTCAATATCCTTGGGGCTATGATTATTAGAATTTTGTTGAAAGCTTTATTTCGCAAAGCACAAAAGAAAATGTAGTTAAATTTCAAGATACTCTGATTTTAAAACTATCACATCCTTTTTAGTAACTCAACTCCCCAAGGTTTTGTTCACATGGCCCTGTGGATAAAAACTTTGGTTGAAGTAATCTAGTGACTTGACCCAAATAGTTGAGTGCAATATCTGGTCCACAGCAGAGGTGTACAACAACTTGGAGAATTGAGTTAAAGGGAAATAACTGAAACTGAGATATCAGGAAGAGGCATGGAACTTGGAACTAGAACAATATTCCCCGTGGACGAAATAAAGGGTTCCGTTTGAAATGCCAATCACTGGAACGTCGTGAATATAACAACAAAGATGAGGACAACAGTCCGAACAATAGAAATAGTTTTAAATAATTTCAATTTTCTTAGTGTAAATTTAATTAAAAATATTTTTTTTAAATTTCAAACAATATTTTTTGTAAGCAGAAAAAAATTTGGAAATATCTAGAAAAAGTTTGAAACCACACCAATCAACCTCGATTTAAGCTGCAGAGTTTTAAAAAATACAACGTTTTTACTAGATGAGCCGTGATATATAACAGATTTATTTTGTGGTAATAGAAATTAATGGAATCTTGCTCTTTTATCGCCTTTGTCTGCAGATTTACTGCAAAGTAGTAAAATGGTCATCTCCGTAGTGTTCCAGAAACAGTTCGGTCTTTATCCAACGAAGATTAATTGAAAATAAAATCTTTTATCGAACTGCTATAGTAGAAAATGCGAAGGGAAACTCTCATTTCAAACAAGACGTTGAGTCAAAATGATAACAAGAATTGAATTTACGTTTAAGGATGGTCAGGCTTCGACTCGATCGACGACCACAGACAGAAACGTATCTCGGAAAGTGGCGCCTATGGCAAATCAAATGTGCCTAGCAGAAAATCGTGTGCCTATCAGAAAATAGAATGCATGCTTGCTAGCAAAAGGAGGAGCCTAAAATACAAATTACAAATCGGGGATACCAAAATAAATTTTAAAAAATCCAAAAATTGATATATGTGGGAAGTGTTCTAACAAAGGACAAAGGTGCATTCTAAAAGCTAAGCAGAGTATTAAGAGAGAGAAAAAAATTCGTTAGAAACAAAGAAAAGAGTACTGAAATGTTACGTGATATTTGTCCTCCTTTATAGCAGGGAATGCTGGACAATCTCCACAAAAATGAAGAGGTGATTGAAGCAATAGAAATGTGGTTCTACAGAAAGATGCTGAGGATACCAAGAACCGAACATGTGAGCAACAACGAGGTTTTGAAAAGAATGGAAACAAAAAGGAAATATACTTAACATCAGAAGGAGGCAGTTGAAATTTCTGGGGCACGTAATGAGGAAGGAGGGCTTGGAAAATCTGATACTCACATGACAGATTGAGAGAAATAGGGATAGAGGAAAAGGCGCGTAATATATTTGATTGGCTTGGATGCATGGATGGAGAAATACCGTTAGAAGAAATAGCAAAAAGACAAAATTTATTAAGAGCTACAAGGGAAACGAAGTTGTGGAGGGCCATGATCACCTACGTCCTGAGGGGTTACGACACATAAAGAAGAAGATCTAAATATCTGGTACCCTACCAAAGTGCAAACTAGATTTGCTAGTTAAAAAATATTAGTCAAGATTATTAATTTATATAATAAATTTTAGTTGTTAAATAGAGTATATTTTGTTTTTTAGATTTTATTTAAAAGCAATTTCATAAGCGTATTGTTTTACGAAATGTCAAAGCAATTCTTACAAAAAGAAAATATTTTAAAACAAATCAAACCTCAGACTCTCGGAAAACACGCGTCAATTGTCAGTATTTACATTGTTCGGATTGTTGTCCTCATCTTTACTGCCTGATTCACAATGTATCGGCCGTTGTATACTCCAGCCTTCTTCAGGTGATATCTGTTAGAATTTCGAACCGAACCCTTTATTTAGTCTAAAGGGATCATTCATTTCATTAAACCTCTTAATTCCTTGGAGAATATCGGGCCGCAACAACGCCTCTCCAACGGACGCGGTTCCGGGCGATCCTCTCCAACTCAGACCATGCCGGCTGACTTCCCAGGGATCTTCACCAGCACGCGTCATACGCTCCACTTTGGAGGACTCTTCGTCAGCCATGTCGTTGTTTGAAGATATAACTGAGGTTTCTGTAAGAAGCTAGTTTTTAAGTGAGTAGGTTGTTAGCCTACTGCACAACCCTCAACCTGCAGGACCAAGGTGTGTCTTTCGTCAGGCTCCTACCCCACGGGGATATATTGTTCTAGTTTCACGTGCCATGCCTTTGGATATCTCATTTTAGTTAATTTGCGTAGCTTATATGTGGCACAAGGCTGAAAGTATGGACACACAGTGAGGATCGAATTCACTATTCAGTTGTAATCGTTCTTGCTAGCCATTACACCACGCTGAGGTACCTAAAGTGATTTCTAAGCGTAGCTTAGACGTGGCACAAGGCCAAAAGTATAGGGGACATCCAGTGAGGATCGAATTCCCTACTGTAATGGTTCTGGCGAGTCAAGCTTGCTGACCATTACACAACATCGAGGTAGCCAAATTCACCTTGATAACTCTCCAAGTTTTTGTTCTCTCCGCTGGAGCCAGGGGTTGAACTCACAACTCTTTGGATCAACTCACTTGTTAGATCAATCAGCCAACGCTTTTATCCTGCAGAGCGTACAATGACCGAAACGTCGTAAATGTGACAGTAAAGATGAGGACAACAGTCCAAACAATGTAAATAGTTACATTACCTCATCTCAACAATATAGACACATGCTTCAATTGCCCTTTACATTTTAAATTGAGAAAACAAAATAATAAAATAAAATATGAGGGTACAACAAGAAAAGAATTTTTAATACATTTTGACGCTATAATATTAGCGTTTTACTATCAATAAAATACACTATAATTATATATTATCTTTAATAACCGTTTAATTTTTTCATTGAGAAATTATAATAACGTAATAACGAAACAGAAACATAATAAAATGAAAGATGAAATATAATTATTTCGTTATTCATCTTTCATTTAACGTAATAACGAAACAGAAACATAATAAATTATTACACTAGTACTGTAAAAAGACAAGTGGAAACAATGAATGAAGGAAAGTGTCGGTTATGGCTAAAATTTCGTCTTCTTTGCTTTCATTGTTGGAAATTTGCCAACCAAAATTGCTAAATATCAAGGTTAAAAAATCGTCACTAGCAACATTCGCCGATTACACTACGAATTATTTGTTCAGTGGCGTTGTGACGTCCATTCCAGTCCAAAATGGCGCCCATGTTCCGTGCCCTTCTTGCTATATCCTAGATACGTCATTGGCCACAAACAGCTTCGGGCGACACCAAATTGTAAGCAATTAGGAAGGAAGGCTGGACAGGGACGCAGGCAGACTGATTTGAATTCAGAAGTTGGAAATATTATGCACAAACAAGAGTGACTTACAAGAACTGTTTTCTTCCTTGCCTTTCATTTATCCAATCGGGATAGAATCGATAGTGTAGGAGGAAAGTCGCTCAAATACATTTAAACCACCCTCCTCCTACTCAATCGATTATATGTCTCTCTTCCTATTCCCCTCCTACTCATCCTGCAGTCTGTATTTCAGACAAAGATCAACGATAGAATTGCAATAAATAAGTTTCCTTTATATTTAAATCGGTTAATCTAGACCAGTGGTAGCCAAAGTTTTTTTTTCTCTGGGCTGCATTTTCGAAATTAAAATTTGCTCGCTACTTGCCAAATTTTACGTGATAAAAAGTAGATTTAAAAATGAAAAATAACGACGAATAATAATATGTTAAATATAATATATAACACAATTAACGTATATGATTAATGTACACAAATTTGCTGAAAGGTATGAGCTTGCTTTTGACAAGGAAACGAAAACACAGGTTCAGGGTGATAAGGCGCAAACAGCCCTACGACAAAGGAGATCCAGAGTGATGGCTAAAGGTAGATAACAACGGATTCAAAGTCAGAACATTATCATTGATAACTCTCTCCTCCAATTTGCAGACCCTCGTTCCTATATTCTTAATACTTGATATAATGCAATCGGTCAACAATTGTTTATAACTATTTATACTGGGACTCATGCATGCAATTACAAGTAAATTATAATAATGTTTTGAATTATGAAATCATATTTAATTATATTTATTTTTGGCATATGAATTTTTGGAACTGTTTCTAAATCTTTGACTCTTCTTTCAATATTTTCCAACTCTCCTGCTATCCTCTTTCCGCCGAGTCTGGTATCCTCTTTCCGCCTCACCTGCTATCTTCTTTCCGCCTTACCTGCTATCCTCTTTCCGCCGAGTCTGCTATCCTCTTTCCGCCGAGTCTGGTATCCTCTTTCCGCCTCACCTGCTATCCTCTTTCCGCCGAGTCTGGTATCCTCTTTCCGCCTCACCTGCTATCCTCTTTCCGGCGATTCTGGTATCCTCTTGCCGCCTCGCCTGCTATCCTCTTTCCGCCTAGCCTGCTATCCTCTTTCCGCCGAGCCTGTTATCCTCTTTCCGCCGAGCCTGGTATCCTCTTTCCGCCTCACCTGCTATCCTCTTTCCGGCGATTCTGGTATCCTCTTGCCGCCTCGCCTGCTATCTTCTTTCCGCCTCACCTGCTATCCTCTTTCCGCCGAGCCTGTTATCCTCTTTCCGCCGAGCCTGGTATCCTCTTTCCGCCTCGCCTGCTATCCTCTTTCCGCCTCACCTGCTATCCTCTTTCCGCCGAGCCTGTTATCCTCTTTCCGCCGAGCCTGGTATCCTCTTTCCGCCTCGCCTGCTATCCTCTTTCCGCCTCACCTGCTATCCTCTTTCCGCCGAGCCTGTTATCCTCTTTCCGCCGAGCCTGGTATCCTCTTTCCGCCTCGCCTGCTATCCTCTTTCCGCCTCACCTGCTATCCTCTTTCCGCCGAGCCTGTTATCCTCTTTCCGCCGAGCCTGGTATCCTCTTTCCGCCTCGCCTGCTATCCTCTTTCCGCCTCACCTGCTATCCTCTTTCCGCCGAGCCTGTTATCCTCTTTCCGCCTCGCCTGCTATCCTCTTTTCCGCCTCGCCTGCTATCCTCTTTCCACCGATCCCTTTATCCTCTTTCCGCCGAGCCTGGTATCCTCTTTCCGCCTCGCCTGCTATCCTCTTTCCGCCTCACCTGCTATCCTCTTTCCGCCGAGCCTGTTATCCTCTTTCCGCCGAGCCTGGTATCCTCTTTCCGCCTCGCCTGCTATCCTCTTTCCGCCTCACCTGCTATCCTCTTTCCGCCGAGCCTGTTATCCTCTTTCCGCCGAGCCTGGTATCCTCTTTCCGCCTCGCCTGCTATCCTCTTTCCGCCTCACCTGCTATCCTCTTTCCGCCTCACCTGCAATCCTCTTTTCGCCGAGTCTAGTATCCACTTTCCACCTCGTCTGCTGTCCTCTTTCCGCCTCGCCTGCTATCCTCTTTCCACCTCACCTGCTATCCTCTTTCCGCCTCACCTGCTATCCTCTTTCCGCCGAGCCTGGTATCCTCTTTCCGCCTCGCCTGCTATCCCTCTTTCCGCCTCACCTGCTATCCTCTTTCCGCCTCACCTGCTATCCTCTTTCCGCCTCACCTGCTATCCTCTTTCCGCCGAGCCTGGTATCCTCTTTCCGCCTCGCCTGCTATCCTCTTTCCGCCTCACCTGCTATCCTCTTTCCGCCTCACCTGCAATCCTCTTTTCGCCGAGTCTAGTATCCTCTTCCACCTCGTCTGCTGTCCTCTTTCCGCCTCGCCTGCTATCCTCTTTCCACCTCACCTGCTATCCTCTTTCCGCCTCACCTGCTATCCTCTTTCCGCCTCACCTGCTATCCTCTTTCCGCCGAGCCTGGTATCCTCTTTCCGCCTCGCCTGCTTTATCCTCTTTCCGCCTCACCTGCTATCCTCTTTCCGCCGAGCCTGTTATCCTCTTTCCGCCGAGCCTGGTATCCTCTTTCCGCCTCGCCTGCTATCCTCTTTCCGCCTCACCTGCTATCCTCTTTTCCGCCTCACCTGCAATCCTCTTTTCCTTGAGTCTAGTATCCTCTTTCCACCTCGTCTGCTGTCCTCTTTCCGCCTCGCCTGCTATCCTCTTTCCACCTCACCTGCTATCCTCTTTCCGCCTCACCTGCTATCCTCTTTCCGCCGAGCCTGGTATCCTCTTTCCGCCTCGCCTGCTATCCTCTTTCCGCCTCACCTGCTATCCTCTTTCCGCCTCACCTGCTATCCTCTTTCCGCCTCACCTGCTATCCTCTTTCCGCCGAGCCTGGTATCCTCTTTCCGCCTCGCCTGCTATCCTCTTTCCGCCTCACCTGCTATCCTCTTTCCGCCTCACCTGCAATCCTCTTTTCGCCGAGTCTAGTATCCTCTTTCCACCTCGTCTGCTGTCCTCTTTCCGCCTCGCCTGCTATCCTCTTCCCACCTCACCTGCATCCTCTTTCCGCCTCACCTGCTATCCTCTTTCCGCCTCACCTGCTATCCTCTTTCCGCCTCACCTGCTATCCTCTTTCCGCCTCACCTGCTATCCTCTTTCCGCCTCACCTGCTATCCTCTTTCCACCTCACCTGCTATCCTCTTTCCGCCTCACCTGCTATCCTCTTTCCGCCGAGCCTGGTATCCTCTTTCCGCCTCGCCTGCTATCCTCTTTCCGCCTCACCTGCTATCCTCTTTCCGCCTCACCTGCTATCCTCTTTCCGCCTCACCTGCTATCCTCTTTCCCGCCGAGCCTGGTATCCTCTTTCCCGCCTCGCCTGCTATCCTCTTTCCGCCTCACCTGCTATCCTCTTTCCGCCTCACCTGCAATCCTCTTTTCGCCGAGTCTAGTATCCTCTTTCCACCTCGTCTGCTGTCCTCTTTCCGCCTCGCCTGCTATCCTCTTTCCACCTCACCTGCTATCCTCTTTCCGCCTCACCTGCTATCCTCTTTCCGCCTCACCTGCTATCCTCTTTCCGCCGAGCCTGGTATCCTCTTTCCGCCTCGCCTGCTATCCCTTCGCCTCACCTGCTATCCTCTTTCCGCCTCACCTGCTATCCTCTTTCCGCCTCACCTGCTATCCTCTTTCCGCCGAGCCTGGTATCCTCTTTCCGCCTCGCCTGCTATCCTCTTTCCGCCTCACCTGCTATCCTCTTTCCGCCTCACCTGCTATCCTCTTTCCGCCGAGCCTGTTATCCTCTTTCCGCCGAGCCTGGTATCCTCTTTCCGCCTCGCCTGCTATCCTCTTTCCGCCTCACCTGCTATCTTCTTTCCGCCTCACCTGCTATCCTCTTTCCGCCGAGCCTGTTATCCTCTTTCCGCCGAGCCTGGTATCCTCTTTCCGCCTCGCCTGCTATCCTCTTTCCGCCTCACCTGCTATCCTCTTTCCGCCGAGCCTGTTATCCTCTTTCCGCCTCACCTGCTATCCTCTTTCCGCCTCACCTGCTATCCTCTTTCCGCCGAGCCTGGTATCCTCTTTCCGCCTCACCTGCTATCCTCTTTCCCTCACCTGCTATCCTCTTTCCGCCTCACCTGCTATCCTCTTTCCGCCGAGCCTGTTATCCTCTTTCCGCCGAGCCTGGTATCCTCCCCCGCCTCGCCTGCATCTTCTTTCCGCCTCACCTGCTATCCTCTTTCCGCCGAGCCTGTTATCCTCTTTCCGCCGAGCCTGTTATCCTCTTTCCGCCTCACCTGCTATCCTCTTTCCGCCGAGCCTGGTATCCTCTTTCCGCCTCGCCTGCTATCCTCTTTCCGCCTCACCTGCTATCCTCTTTCCGCCGAGCCTGTTATCCTCTTTCCACCTGCTATCCTCTTTCCGCCTCACCTGCTATCCTCTTTTCCGCCGAGCCTGGTATCCTCTTTCCGCCTCACCTGCTATCCTCTTTCCGCCTCACCTGCTATCCTCTTTTCCGCCTCACCTGCTATCCTCTTTCCGCCGAGCCTGTTATCCTCTTTCCGCCGAGCCTGGTATCCTCTTGCCGCCTCGCCTGCTATCTTCTTTCCGCCTCACCTGCTATCCTCTTTCCGCCGAGCCTGTTATCCTCTTTCCGCCTCGCCTGCTATCCTCTTTCCGCCTCACCTGCTATCCTCTTTCCGCCGAGCCTGGTATCCTCTTTCCGCCGAGCCTGGTATCCTCTTTCCGCCTCGCCTGCTATCCTCTTTCCGCCTCACCTGCTATCCTCTTTCCGCCGAGCCTGTTATCCTCTTTCCGCCGAGCCTGGTATCCTCTTTTCCGCCTCGCCTGCTATCCTCTTTCCGCCTCACCTGCTATCCTCTTTCCGCCGAGCCTGTTATCCTCTTTCCGCCGAGCCCTGGTATCCTCTTTCCGCCTCGCCTGCTATCCTCTTTCCGCCTCACCTGCTATCCTCTTTCCGCCTCACCTGCAATCCTCTTTTCGCCGAGTCTAGTATCCTCTTTCCACCTCGTCTGCTGTCCTCTTTCCGCCTCGCCTGCTATCCTCTTTCCACCTCACCTGCTATCCTCTTTCCGCCTCAACTGCTATCCTCTTTCCGCTGAGCCTGGTATCCTCTTTCTGCCGAGCCTGCTATCCTCTTCCGACGCAGCGTTTGGCAACCACTGCTCTAGATGCTCTTAGTACGTGAATTAATATACTTAGTCCAAGAATTCTGACTATCGTCACTTTTCAACTGATAAGTAGGAGGATCTTAAAGAATTGAACACGTGACTGTAAATCCTGATCCGATTGGTCTATTACCGAGTGTACTGTTCTTGTTTTGTTAGTTTTACTGTCTTTTCTTTTTTTTTTTTGTATAGCTTTTCTGTCGAAGTCTGCAGAAGAATAATTATTTGGCTTCATGCTTTGTACAGAAAACTTACGAAGACTACTCGGCGTGTACGTCAAAGATTGTTCTATGTTTTCAAAGAGGAACTAAGTTTTCTAAATTCACAAATACTCGCACAAAAACATACTTGATATATAAAAGCAGAGATAGATGTTTTTCATAATTTCACCCCAAGAAAAGCGATAAAGCCTCTAAGACACAAGGGGGTTACTGAGTGTGAAAAGATGCGAGAAAAAATTATTAAAACGAGAGATCAATGAAAGAACATGAATTAAGGGGACAGATGAAAACGACTGTCGTTGCATTTAAATTTTTGAAGACCAAATTTAAATAGGAAGCAAGAAAGCTGAAGAGAGTTCCACGAGCGAAAAGTGCAAAAGAAGAAACGGTTAGCATAGAATTTATGGTTACATCTAGCATTTCCAACTGTAGAATGATGAGACCTAGTTACCAATTTAGTACTGTGCTCAAATTCGTAAAGTAGATGTATCAAAGATGAAAACTCGTCAGAACAATTAGCATGAAAACATCGATAGAACAGGCACAGGGAAACTACGTTATGACGATGGAAAACTGATTGAAGCGGAGATGCCAGATAGATAGATAGATAGATAGATAGATAGATAGATAGATATGAATAGACTGAGATAGATAGATAGATAAATAGATAGATATGAATAGGGTGAGATAGATAGATAGATAGATATCTAGATAGATAGATAGATAGATAGATAGATAGATAGATAGATAGATAGATAGATAGATAGATATGAAATGACTGAGATAGATAGATTGATAGATAAGAAAAGACTTAGATAAGTAAAGAACAGAGTCAGATGGGGCGATAGATTAATTATTAGGCGGTGTCCAATTTACTTACATACTTGTTCAAACAAAAGTTCGTAGTGTGCTTATGTAAATTTCAAAGCCAATATTTGGATATTTTCACATGGATTTCTTCGTCCAAATATGTGAAATTTTGTCGCACTGACTTTCGCCATCTCTGAGGCGTCTTCACCATTCCATCCTTTCTCTTTCTGATGAGGCTTTCATTGAAGTGAATTAAGAGAAATTTGTAGGGATGTAAATAAGTGATAGTCCGAAATTGTGGTGTCAAATGAGTACGCCGTGTACAGTAGATTATCCCAGCCAAGCTCTACCAATTTCTGTCCAGTCTGTCAAGAGATGCGAAGTCTGGCGTTGTTATGATGGGAGACCCTTCCTAATGGCCAATTCCGGATACTTTTTTTCGATTATATTTACCTTCTGTGGAATCTCAATTGTTCAACTTTTGACCGACACCCGTCAGCGGAAATCAAACTCACGTCCTGAAGGGTAAAATACCTTCGAATCTTGTATAACGATATGCGTTTGTAAATTAAGGTTAATCGGTACATTTTCATGCCTCTGTCGGATTAGTAATTAAACATACGTAGCCATGTATATTAATTAACGGACACACAAATTGGGAACAGTAGATGCCTGAATTTAACATCTAATTTTGCGAAAATAACTCATTATACATAATGTTATTCCAATCCTGCCAGACACACATTGTCACCTTCTTCGGAAGCAGATCAGCTTTGGCGTGATTAACGGTGGCTGATTTCGTTTTGCAATGAGCCTTGGCGTTGTCTAGCATGGAGTAGAAAGATTCGATTTCTTCTTTCTTACTTTGTGCTGCCGGGGCATACACTATTATGATTGGCTACATTGAAAGGCTTTCCTTTCAGCATGATTACCAGAATTCTTCCGGATATTTGGTAGTATCCCAGAACGCATTTCTTGAATTCTTGATCTAGTATCAATCCTACTCCTTTCTTGTTTTTGCGGACATATGTTTATATGGACTTTTGTACTTGTTTTGTCTCCTTTGCATCATGTCGAGAATCTCATCAGTGATCCATTCGTTTTTTTCTTCTTTATCTATTCTTCTTTGGCATGATATTGTTTGCTAATGTCACTAAAGCTTCTCTTTATTTTATTTCGAGTTTCCATTTCCATTTTGTCCCTCGAATCTACTCTTAGAACTCCATATATTTTTCCTTCGGTTACAGGTCACTCAGGTGTTTGTTGTTTTGCAGTTTCGGTGCTGCGTTAGGCTTCTTCAGTTTCTGTAGTTTCACTCTTAGTTTACATATAACAGGGTGATAGTCGCTTCCGCGGTCGACACTTGTGAGATTTTGCAGTGAACCACTGTATTCCTGTATCTTTTGTTGATAGTTATGTAGTCAATTTGTTTTTTAGTTTCTCCTCCTGGGATTATCCATGTCCATAAACGTCTCGGATGATCTTAGAACCATGTGTTGGCTATTACCTGGTCATTGGATCCATTTTTCTCACGCTCGTTGCGGTTTCCTAGTCCGAATTTTCCAGCTATATCACTTACCCTCTCCCTGCTTACTTTCAGGTTATCTTCAGGTCTCCCATGATAATTATGATTTCTTGTGATTTGCAGTGAACTTTGGCGTAGGATGATTCGATTTCTTCTTCCTTACTTTGTGCTGTCGGTGCATATACTATTATAATAGGCTTTCTTTTCAGTTTGAATACCAGAATTCTCTCGGATATTTGGTAGTATCCCAGAACGCCTTTCTTGAATTCTTGATCTAGTATCAATCCTACTCCTTTATCGTTTTTCTCTCCGCCTGCATATATAATCCTGTGATTGTCACTGTTTGGCCATCTAGTTTCACAGACACCTAAGATGTTGATTTTTAGCATACTCATTTTCTGTTTTACATTTTCTAACTGGCCACAGTTGTTCAACGTCCGAACGTTCCATGTCCCAAAAGTTATTTTTGTTTGATACGAGCAGTCAATGGATAACGGTCCGGTGATACCCGTCGTCCATGTCGCACTTGTCCGGGCGTGGGATATGTTCCCAGAAATGTTATCCCCTTTACGCCGTTTGCGCTGGATGACGGTCAAGTGACGCCTGTTGCACATGTCTGTCTTTACCGGGCGTGGAGTTAATTCCCATAGAATTAACCCCCTTCACGCCGTTAGGTTTCATAATGGTTTCTACAAAGATGAAGAAGAGACACGAGGCCACAGAGGCATGGTTCTACAGAAGGGTGCTAAGGATATAATGGACCGAACATGTGAGCAACGATGAAGTTTTGGAGAGAATGCAAAGAGGAAACTTAAACTTAACATCAGTAGCTGAACTTTTTGGGACACGTAATGAGAAAGGAAGGCTTGGAAAATCTCATACTCACAGGGCATATAAAGAGAAGGAGGGACAAGGGAAGGCAACGCGTGATATACTTAGCGGGGTTAAACAAGTGGATGGCAGAATAGAGTCTAGGAGAGATAGCAAAAGGACAAAACTACAAGAGATAGGAGGAAGTGGAGAGCCATGATCGCCTACATCCTGAAGAGATACAGCACATAGAAAGAAGAAGAAGAAGAAGAAGAAGAAGAAGAAGAAGAAGATTTCGTTTTTCACTGCACATTGTTGCAAACAATCATTTTTCATTGTAAGCGTTCTTTTCTAAAATGGGTCGTTTTTTGTTTTCTTTTTCTTTTCGTTTTTAGCAGGATATAGCAGCTGGAAACTCGATCCATTATTTTTTTGTTTCATTAAATCATGACGCACAAAAGCAACGGAGAGATTCATGTATCCCAGGGTTTTCAAATGCCTTACAACACTCATGTGATCGAGATCAGTATTTCGATTTAGTCATCAACTCCCAGACCAAAATTTCCATGAATCTACTGAACCACTTTATGAACGGTACATTCAGCTATGGAACCATTTCCATAAACGGCACATATATCTTTTCTCTTTTTGTTGTTGTTGTTGTTGTTGTTTGTATAGAAATGTTTTCCTTTTCTGGAAATAAAACGAAAATGAATTTCATTTGCCTGTTCAAAAATTCTAAATTCGCAATCTACATATGAATCGTAGAGAAAAACGCGTTGAACTGTTACATTTCAAAATATCTATGTATAGATATATTTTTCAGTCACTCTTGTCTAGAATATATGAATATGGAACTCTTCCAGTATTTTCCACTATCGTCGGGGACTTAGAAACACCAACTACGTAAGTGCTTCTCCATAACGGATCACCTTCCTGGTCTATACTCACAATGCCGTAATTGTAAAGTCAACGAACACTCGCTGCTACTTTTCTAACGTTGTCACTTTCGATTATTGATTTTTTTTAAATCAGTAATCGATAAAGCCGACCAAAAATCGATAAATTAAACTTTTTTTCTCCGATTTCGTTCAAACTTGATATGTAGGTTACTTACATCATGACGAGCTTTAATGATACCTCATTTTTATTTCTACGCCATTGCATTTTGCGAAAAACCGCAAAAATACAACTATACAACTATAGTAACGCCATTGAACAATACTGGTGTCAAACGCCTTCTAATATCACTCGCACTAATAGTACTTGCTTAATAATATTCGCACAAAAAGTAACCACCGAATACTGATCCGAATAGTAATCCGTATAGTAATCAGTATAGAGAATAGCGTAGAGAAAAGAAGAGAATCACGAACCGTATAGTAATAGAGGATAGAATAGAAATGGTGATCCGTATAGTAATAGAGGATAGAATAGAATGAGTTTTCCGTATACTAATAGAATAGAAAGAGTGTTCCGTATACTAATAGAGGATAGAATAGAAAGAGTGATCCGTATACTAATAGAGGATAGAATAGAAAGAGTGATCCGTATACTAATAGAGGATAGAATAGAAAGAGTGATCCGTATACTAATAGAGGATAGAATAGAAATGGTGATCCGTATAGTAATAGAGGATAGAATAGAAACAGTG